CTCTAAAGGAGGATATCAACTGCATCCAAGAGTCCATGATGTTCACTGCAGGTTGAGCTCGACCAGTTCGGAAATCTACAACCTCCCGCCGGTGACTCCACATCCAGTGAGAAGAGAGCGCACCCCGCAGTCCTGTCTGCCTGTAGGGAACCGTCGGTGTATAGATGGTGTACGGCAGGGACTGAGGTAAAGACTCTGTGTATGGTCTCCAGAGCTAATTTTTTCTGAAGTAGAGGTGCCTTTGCGGTGTGAGTAAAGGTGACTGCTGGACAGGGAATCCGTATTGTGAGGTGCGGTGGCCAAGTAGATGCCCCAAGGTGCCCTGAGCTTGCACCCGGGGCACTTCCAGTCCTTCCCACAGTGGATGGATACTTAACTCTGAAGTTTGGATAATGAAGGTAGTTGAATACAGTGCCGGTCACCCTGCCTTCTGTTAAAAAAAAAAAACTCGTGTGTTATGTCCATATTACCCCCAACGCTACGTCAGGCCTACGAGATTCACATTGCACATTCCATACCACAACATATACTGCCTCTTGCAAACAAGATCATTTCCAACCTCCACTTACTTCAGTAATACCGCCTCTGTACCAGTCACCAATTTCAATATCCTTTCGTCATCCCTTTTCTAACATTGCAAAAAAAAAGTATGTTTTACCTTCACTTAACTTCTAACTCTGTACCTCTTTTTATAGAGTTGACCTTCAATCCTTCTCTTTTTCATGGTTTGTTAAAACTAAATTACCATGGGCATGCCCCATTTGTTGGTTATTCAATATTATACTTTCTGTGTTTGTCTGATTATTGTTTTTTTTTTTTTTACAAAACGTGGCCATATATTTTTTACCCCTTACTGATGATTCTTTAATTCAAAATTATGCTGGTTTTACCTAGAAAATAAAATTGAAGTTAATCACGTCTTGAAAAAACTTGTTAACTTTTAATGCAGTCGATTGAAATATTTGCCTACAACAAAAAAAGTTCTTAAGTTATTCAAAACAACTTAGACAACAGTCAATGAAATCCTAAATTCAGGCAAAATTTTCATTCACGTAAAATATATATTCACTTCTTCATGCGTGAGTAGAGACTGAGTAGTAGTTAATAAAAAGGCATATATAAATATATATATATATAATAAACGACCTCACCAGCCAGGACTCGAACCCTCAACCTAATGCATGGGACCAAGGAATGCTACCGACCATACCACAAGAGCACTAAAAGCAGTTCTAGACTATGTGATATTTCACACAAACCTGTTCATCGAGTTGATGGCGCCGTGAATCTCTCATTGGGAACTGCCCGTGCTGCTTAAGTGGATGTCAGTAGCATTTTACCGAATCCAGTTGGTATGAAACACGAGGTACCATGTATACTTCATGTATATATATATATATATATATATATATATATATATATATATATATATATATATATATATATATATATATATATATATATATATATATATATATATATATATATATATATATATATATATACAGAGGAGAGTGAAATCAAGGCCCATGGAACAGCAGTTGCCCATCAAATTCAGGTCACTAAGTAGTTACCCATACATTTTACCGAGTTATATATTATCTTCTTAATTAAAGTAAAAAGTATCCAATTTGTACAGTCCCGAACAAAAGTCCTGTGCCAGGCAATTTTGACTAACCTGGTTATGTTGGCAACGTCGGAGACACGCACGCACGAACACACATGTTGGGTCTACAGGACACATAGTTTAAGCGTCACTTTATGGTTTAAAGGGCCCATTTCATGCCTAGATTGCCGTGTTGACCAGCTGTGTCAGGAAAAGCTAATGAATGCCATTAATAATTATTTCAACATAACATGAATGACGAGAACCAGTGTATTTGCGAGCAGACAAAATGCCTCCCCACACACAAGCCGCGCTACATTGTCTGCTGGACACCTGGATCATGTAAACAATTCATTCTATGGCGTGTCTCTGTGCATATCCTCTTTGAACTACACCATGTATCGATGATATGTGTCGTCATATGTGGGTGTCAGGAGGACAGGTATAAAAAAATACTGCATAAAAAGATATTTAATTTCAAGTCATAGCGGAGAGAGTTTCTGATGGGAGAGAGGGTTGGTGATGGTTCCAGACAGCAGGGCGGCAGGAGTGCGATGCTCAAGTCAATTTTTCCTCTCATTCCTACTTATCATCAGTGTCATGTTATATTGGCAAGCTTTTAGTATAATAAAATTGTACATTTGAGATGTTAACTTTACATATTACAGTGAACTAAAACAAGTTTAAAGAGAACAAAAAACACCATGTGGACCCTCCCCCCTGACGGACTTTCGCACTACTTTTTTTTTATGGGAATTAGCCCACCCGGACACAGGTCACTGACCCACATCGGGGCCTGGGGGGGCGAAACAACAACAACAACAACAACAACAACAACAACAACAACAACAACAACAACAACAACAACAACAACAACAACAACAACAACAACAACAACAACAACAACAACAGTAACAGTAACAGTAACAGTAACAGTAATAGTAATAATAATAATAATAATAACAATAATAATAATAATAATAATAATAATAATAATAATAATAATAATAATAATAATAATAATAATAATAATAATAATAATAATAATAATAATAATAATAATAATAATAATAATAATAAATAGTCATAATTCATAATAAATAAAATTTATGATAAAACAAACAAAAATAAAATAATAAAATAATGATGATAATAATACAGTAACTGTAATAATAATAATAATAATATTAATAACAGAGAACTATAAATACAAAAATGAAAAAAAAATCAAAAGTGAGAAACGATGTATGTATGTTGTGTTGTCAATGGTAAGAGAAACAATTGAGACCCTGCAATTGCGTGTAAATGAAGCAGAAAGTCAGATCAGCAACCTGGGACTTGGTCACAATTTTCGTGATGCCATATGGCAGCAGGGTTTACCATTAGACAACACATTATGCTTCCAATATCTTCCCAGGCAGTAGTACCTCCCTGTTTGGTAGCTGCCTACTACCTACTACCTGTCATTGCTGTCACTCGGAATCGAGTATGACGATCATCCAGCTATGATACTATGATATGAGTTATTAAGGATGTCACCTTCGTGTGTGAGCTCTAAGGTGACTCGAGAGGCCCATACGGGATCGGCAGGATCGTCCACAGTTGTTGCAAGTGTGGAGGGCTACATCTAGTGCGAGAGGCGCGGCGGCAGCGTCTTGCTGGCGCTTGTCTGCATCGGTATGCAGTCCGGCTAACTCTAAAGTGTTGACACCTTCTCATGTGGTGCTCCTCCGAGCGTTACGGTGTGGAGTAATCGTCTCCCAGGTGAGAGGATCGATTTGGCACTTTTTCAGGTTTATCTTAAGACTATCCTTATACCCTTTCAGTTGCTCCCCAGCGTTACGTTTACGATTCTCTGGCGACTGTAAAGTAGCTGCTTTGGCAGTCTACTGTCGTCCATGCGAGGAACATGGCCAGTCCAACGTAGTTATTCACGGATAATGGTAGCCTCGATGCTCCTACAGTTGGTATCGGCGAGAATATTGTCATTTGTTCTCTTGTTTTCCCAGCGAACTCGGATGATGGTGAAAGTTTCAAGTGCTTTGAGGTATCTCCTGTATGTGACCCAAGCCTCTCTGCCATACAACAGGGAGGGGAGGACCATTGCTAGATACACTTGCAATTTTGTAGATAATTTCAACTCCCTGCAGTTGAAGACACAGGTATGGAGTCTGCCAAAGGCTTGAGATGCATGTCTGATCCGATGTTGTATCTCTTCATCGATGTTCGCCGTGGTGGACAGGTGGGAGCCAAGGTGCTGTTAGTGGGTAACATTAGATAGAGTAGTACCGTTAAGCTGGATGGATGGTGGAGGTGTGGTTGAACCAGGGACAGGCTGAAAGAGAATTTGAGTCTTGCGTGCATTTACCTCAAGGCCGAAGTGTGCATACCTAGCTATGTAGGTGTTAAGGATCTCCTGTAGGTCGCGTTCAGTGTGAGCAACGAGGGTGACGTTGTCTGCATACTGAAGTTCAGTGATGGAAGCGGCCGACACCTTTGTTCCTGCCTGAGGTCGTCTTATGTTGAAAAGTCCCTTCATCCCGCACTGGCACGCGTAAGGAAGGCAGCCAAGAAAATGGAAAAGAGAGTTGGTGCCAGTCCACATCCTTGTTTTACTCCCGTTTGGATGGGGGAAGAACTCAGACTGGGTGCCATTGTGCACATAGAGACGCCATATAATGGATTGTTCACCTAATCTCGATTTCTGGCATACACCATGTGTGTTCGTGCGTGCGTGTCACCGACGGTGCCACTAAACCAGGTTAACCAAAAATGCCTGGCACAGGACTTTTGTCTGGGACTGTACATGCCATTATTCATTATTCATGTTAACAAATTCAGTATGCTTAATGAGACTAGATTCTATATTCCTACTGATGATTGAATTACAGGGTAAGATTGAGGAGGCATTAGCCCAGTCAATATAATGATGAACAAAGTATTGGATTCGTGACCTATCATTAAGAAGATTTGTAACCAGGTAAAATTTAATAATACCACATAAATCATAACACTAAAATCCAACCGCAAGAGAAGATAAAACAAAACTAAATGCAGAGTGCTGTGCTGTGCTGTGCTGCGCTGTGCTGTACTGTACTGTATTTAGACACTTCTGAACAGAACCGTAGGTTGCTATTAAAATATAGTGATCTCGTTGATCTGTGTTTTTCTTCCTCTGCAGTGGGATTTCAGTGATATGTATATATCATAATTTTTTACTATTAGAAAGGGGAATATTTTTTGTATTTATTACATTAACTTTCTTTTGTTATCAAACTTGACTTCTAATTACTGTTTGATTTATTTATATATTCCGAAGTCGCGTATTTTTTATTCTTTTGACAAGCCGTTTTCAGTCATCATTACATGTTCTTTTAAAACCCAACAGGATGTGATAATGAACAAGGTGGTGGTGCGAGCAGTACTCTGAACCACTCTCAAGTGAAACTTCACCACGACAATGTAAGATCATCTCGGTGCAGACGTCGAAACCCCTGTCAACGTACAATAGTCCTTTCATGGGTTTTGTCAATGACAATAAAATTTAACAAGCTGTCTAACTCTACCATGTCAAGCACTATGTCAGAAGCCATGCCAAAGAAGTTCATCACTTAAGACATCCGTCAGCATACAATGTACTGTTACAAATGATAATATTGCCACAGGAACAATGAAATTACTATCAGCAGAACTGGACTTTTTTTTTTTATAAAACTCTCAAATTAAGGTTGGCCAAAGGTGAATAAAGGTTAAGAAACCGGACCTGCACAAAGGTCTTTCTTAACACTAACAATCTCCTTCCGCCCTCACTGTGACTTGTATCTAGGGCCTAGATTCTAGGCTATGTTTCTTCTTGTTTGGTACACCAGTTTTAAGATTTTCTAGTGAATGTCTTGCACAGATATCTGACGTATATAATAACACTTCTACCATCGGTTTCGTGGAAGTTTGCCAGAAAGATACTATACAAAGCATATGTAAGCAAATATGACTGAAGTGAAAGAAACGTCTCCGCTCTTAGGAAGGACAGTTACAGAAACTCCCAAAACCAGGTTCTGGATTGTCCAAGCGTTGGCTGATGTGACCGTGGAACCTGCTATTTTGCTGCACTCTGTTGCTTATGCGATAGATCAGGTTTACTTAACAAATATCATAATAGACAAAGTATGTCTTGTTCATTTCAAATATGACGCAGAAGTTTGTGAAAATTTAGATACAGGTAACTACACAGTAGAGCAAAACCAAGTGCAACGTTTGACTTCTGACTACAATGTGTACAATCATTGGGTTGAGTATCTACCTTCCCTGGTCAGTATCCTCATCCAGGGTGCTTGGGAGGACGTCAGAGGTCGTCGTCTTCCTGTGCTCCGTTCCTTCGTCGGTAGTTTACTCACAGCCCTTTGCTTCTTGGCCAATGCTTACTGGTGGTCCCTTCCAGCACCGTTTCTCCTCTTGTCATGGGTACCTCTTGGGGTCTCAGGGGGTAATATTGGCTTAAATACGAATGCCTGTATTTTTGTGAGTGCCGTATCCGGGAGTAGATCAAGAACTTTTAGGCTATCCGCCATGGAGTGGATAAAATATGGTTGTTACCCTTTAGCCATATATCTAGCAATGATCATTTACAGTAATGGTGGTTATGTGACTCTTTATGGCTTTCAAGTGATACTGTACATTGTGGCTGTGGTGTATCTCGCCTTCTGCCTGGAGGAGCCACATTCTACGAAGCTTCAAGATGAACAAACTTCTTCGATGAGCATTTGTGAAGTGTTCTCAACGTCATGGTTAACAAGAACATTCGCCGTGACGTGGAGGCCACGTGCAGCAGGTGGTCGAACTACGTTAATTGCTAATATGGCAATTCTTCTGCTGGTGGTCTTTAGTCAGGGTAGGTTATCTCTAAAATTAAAAAAAAATATATGAGTAAAATAAAACCAGCAATTGGAAGTGTAGGTGTAATAACTATTTAGAAGTGGTTAGTGACCTTGGTCAAATTAGACAGGCACAGTTAGCCATAGAGAAGGGGTCCTCAACTTCTTTTGCAAAAGGGCAGAACTTATAAACCAGAACTAAGGGACCGCACGGCAATACGAAAGAAAACGATGTTTACAATGTATATACTTATGTAAAAACATGAAGTTGAATATGTTCGCCCATTGGAGTGAGCTATCCTCCTATAGTTTCAGAATCCTTTACTCAACTCAACCAGACTGTGGTAAAACTAACCCAAGATTATTAGGCTAAATTTAGTTATATCTGGTTCTGACTGCCTCTTGCCTGTTACTGAAAGGGTTTAACAAAGTATAACCTCCATAATTAACGTTGGTAAGACCAACATCACTTCTATGGTGAGAATTACAATGTAGAGGAATGTATTGTCCTAACATATCAGTTAAACAACGTAGTCAGAGAAATCCAAATGTGGAAATTTAGTGGTAATGATTAGCAGAGCCCTAAAACCTTGACAGCAATGTGTTTATGTACAGTGCATAATAAGGTTAACAGAGTACATCGGCATAATATCTAATTGCGTGTTAGTAACAGGAACAGTAGTATTTTTATGTGCAAATTGTTGTTGTTGTTATAATGTTATTACTGCGTTTAAAAAAACTAAGGTCTTTAAGACGTAACTAGGTCAGCAATTACGCTAATCCTTCAACAACTAAAAATTTTGAGAGATAGACCTCAATCAAAGTACCGTCCTCATATCTGAGGGTCGGCAATCACAACCCTCCACTCTAAACGTTCTCGGGCTGTTTTTACTAAACCTTCATGATTTTGTATTATTTTTTTAAGTATGTGCAAAGGATATACAACATTAAACTCGAATAGATAAGAGAAGCAGGGCTTTTGTCACATCCTAATAATTGTTTTGCTAGGATTCTACACACTCACTGTGGTTTGTTTTGTGGTTTTACTGGTAAAAAATTAATTTTAACCAAAAGTTAGTTAAGCCTGTTGCGAAATTAATAAGCTCAACAGGTTAAATTGCTTAAGCTGTGCATATACACATGAAAACAGATGCATCACTTTTCTGGGTGGCAATTCTTGTAATAGACTCGGTAACGGGTAGGTGATTATTACGGCACCATTGTTGCACGAATTGTCGCCACGTCATTCATCACTACAGTACAGAGAATGGGATATCTAGCTGCTCTTTGAAGCATCGAAAATATGATAAGAACCAAAAAGTGAAGCAATTAAACGGGGTATAGAACTTCGAAGCTTCGAAGAGGTATGAAACCGGAGTGACTCATTTAAGTGACATAAAACTGGGAGGGCGAGGAAAAATCGGCAGACCCGACCATTAGATGAGAGTAGACCGTTGCTGGTGTGCTGTCTGCATGGACGGTGATCACGTACGTGTTGTGTGTTATTTGGTGATCGGGGCCATGCTAATTAGTGAACGTTAAGTTTAGATATTGGAAGGAGAAAAGTTTAGGAAGGTGCAGCCCTTACTACTGTGCTTGGCGACCTTGTAATATTTACTGTACTTTATTGTGTTGAAATGTAGTGTTAAGAGTATGTATAGAAGATTAAGTTAAGATAATGTTAAGGTAACAAAAGATGATGGATGAATTGGTGATTCTTGTAGGTTTTGATTGTTTATTTTGTCTTTAGAATAAAAGTATTGCAAGATTGTTACTTGAACTATTAAGACTTGTGTTATAATGCAAGGATTTGAAAAGATAAGTTATTCCCTCCTGTTATCTATTGCTATGGCCAGGGATGGGAGCAACCATGATGACTACTTATCCTAAGCATTAACCTAATTAGCTGCTCTAATGTTCCGTTACCTCTGCTGTCCCCAGGTGTCAAGAACTACTTCTTCCTCTACACCAGAAAGATGTTTGAATGGGAATACCAAAACTACACTGACTGGACTCTTGTTGATTATCCCGTGAAGGCTATAGGTAAGAAAGTTTTATATTTATAATATATATTTATTGTGATAACCAATTGAATCAACAGCCTCACCCCGACAGGACACGAACCCACGATCTTATGTGTGTGACCGGGGAACGTTACCTCTAGACCACCAGACTTTGTTATATTTCACGCAAAGCCTGTTCATCGAGCTTATGGCGCCGAAGCCGGATTTGGTAAAACGTTACTCCGACCACCTAAGAGGCACGGGTAGTTCAACTGTTCTGCATAAATTGTGATTCTCTACAATACCAATTTTGGACCCTTGTGGTTGTCTGCATGCTTTGTCTCAAATGAAATTGAATAACCTTAGAAAACCTTATATTTTCTAAACCCCTGGGTGTCTTTCATTGGTGAAATCAGTCGTGAAATTGAATCTCTGCCAGGGTGAGAACCTTTTGTCGCGAAAAGTAACGTGATAAATGTAAATATAATTAAAAAAATTCATACAAAGTAATAGATTATTCAGTTGATTAAATGCTTACATACACAGTAACTCCGACGAATTGATAAAAGAAGTAAATTCGGAAGACCCGCCCGAAGTACTATTAAGTCAGAGATTATGTTTCCGTGTGGAAAACCTATTATATCTCCTAAACCTAAACTAAGATTTGTTTCGTTACCAAAGTTAATAGAAAACTATCTCAAGGTAAGATAAGAACGTTACCAAATATAAGGAATCATAGATTTGTTAATTAGGAAAACCATATAAATGTTTAAGTACATTTTTGTGCGTTAATGATCACGTGACAACGCCGGACGCCGCCAGTGCGAGTTTGAGATAATATCTTTCTAGACTGCATGGCTTTGGCACTCGAGAAGCAAGGCTTCTCAGATGCTTTTTAGATGCTCCAGAGCCTCCAGACAAGCAATATTACGTCTACATTAGTTTATTTCTTCTGTGTATATAAGATGAATTAGAAGAATGATCACCAACCAGCTATCAAACAGGGAGGTACTACCGCCTGGGAAGATATTGGAAGCATAATGTGTTGTCTAATGGTAGACCCTGCTGCCATATGGCATCACGAAAATTGTGACCAAGTCCCAGGTTGCTGATCTAACTTTCTGTCTCATTTACACACAATTGCAGGGTCTCAATTGTTTCTCTTACTATTGACAACACAACATATATACTGTATATTGTTCCTCACTTTTGATTTGTTTTATCATTTTGTATTTCTTTGTGGTTCTTTATTATTATTGTTGTTATTATTATTATTATTATTATTATTATTATTATTATTATTATTATTATTATTATTATTATTATTATTATTATTATTAGTTATTAGTTAGTAGTATTATGATTAGGTTTTAGTTATAACTATCTAGGCGCAGTAATTGGCACTACGGACTTCAAGACCCAGTACGTAGAGGGAAAGAATGAGTATCCAAGCTCTATCGGAGATTGCTAACACAGAGCCACATGCGGCCTTTGCAGCATTCACCCATGGAGTCAAGCAT